CGGGTTTAACGGGAAAATTTTAATTTTGATTATGAAGGATGAGATGATCCGGTGGAAGATCCCAAATTAAAAATTCAAGATAGAGTTTTATTTTTTTATAGTGGACCAAGCAATTAATGCCTTGGAATGCTAATTTAATTTAAGAAATATTCACAGTAATTGTTTCCAATTTTTATACAATATATATGATTTAAGAGTTGCCCTTAAAAATTTAATTAATTAAAAACTGTAAAAATTTAGAAATGATGTTGACCGATGGAGAATCAGTGGATGTAAACGCGCTTGATTTAGCAGATCAGATAATGGCAGTTTCACCTTTTACAGGGAAAAAAGAAAATCCAGTAGAAGTTTCAAAATTTATTTCAGTTTTAGAGTCTGCTCCAAATTTTGTTATTGCATTAAGAATTTTACTTTCTTTGCCAATAAGTTTAGCAAGTGGAGAAAGGAGATCGTCAAAATTAAAATTAATAAAAAATTTCTTACGGTCCACAACTCTTCAAAATAGATTAAATGGCTTAGATACTTTGGCTATCGAATAGGAAAGAGCCGAACGGATTAGCCGAAAGTTTTCAAAATTAAACTTGTAATTTTTTGTTGTTGTTTTATTTTTGTGTTTTAGTTTTTAATAAATATTTATATTGTATATATGTTATGGTGCATTTTTCTTCGCAAGAACTATTTAAGTTTTATAGGTGTGTATTTATGAACAATATTTATCTTTTTTAATTTTTTTTTTCACTTTGGAAAAAGGGGATGGCATTTTTCATTTTTGTCCGGGGTGGCAAAATTGCTAAGACCGGCCCTGTTGGGAGCCCTATGTTCGCCTTTTCATGGGTGCAGTTTATCCTGATTTTATTTTAATGAATGACAACACGAGGGACATAGAGCTCATATGGTCGATGAATTTCTGGAAAGTGAGGATGGGTTGGCCAATTAGACCTCCAGACCTCATCCCCATAGAGTAGGTCCTAGGATGCTCTGGAGAGGGCAATTGCAACCCGCCCCCCCCCCTCTGAGAGCCATCCAAGGCATGAAAACAGAGTTTCTGAGCGAGTGGGATTAATTGCCACATGAACTAAGAAATTCCCTTTTTTCAGTATAAAATCACGGTGCGAGGCTGTTTATCAAAGAGAGGGGAACACACCTTCTATTAACCAATTTTTTTTGCTATATTCTGCAACTGCTGTTTCATATCTTCCAACTTCGATGAGCGTTGTGCACGATCATACATGTGTGTTTTAACTGTTGCATTATATCAGCTCTATATACATATAAAATTTCATTAAAATCTGTCCATTAGTTCTAGAGATAATCGACAAAATCTAAAAACTTTCTTAATTTTGAACACGAGTGTATTTTAAACATGTCAACGAACAAAAAACTGTAGGGATAAAAAACGGAGACATTTAATAATAACATTATCTATTCAATAGCAAGAAATACGAATTTCTTTTTCAGCTCAATTAAATTCTTAATTTTAAATCTTACGTAAATTATTAGCTCAAAAGAGGCAAATGAACCAAAATTTTTTTATTTTAGAGTTTGAAATATGTACAAATATTTTTTGAAATCATAATTGCAGCTAAAATAAATGAATTCTATAGTATCTGTATAGTAAATTTTGAACTGTGTAATTATTTGGTATATTTAGGAATAAATATATGCAGTAAAAACCGTTTACCATAAAACTGAGGGGAGGGGGATGAAATATTTTTTCGTGTCAAACGATATTGGGGAAAAAAACATTTATTGAGTTTTTGGAATATAATCTAATATTTTTCTTGGTATTGTCTTTTTAAGCATCAAATTGTTCAATGTTACCAATTTTGTTATTCATTTCACCATAGGAAAAAATGTGCGTCTAAATAACTGAACATACTTTTCATGGTGTCCTACATTTCGGATGGCGTCGGAACAGGAGAGCTTCATTATCCGTTTCATTTTCGTCGTCGGAATCCGCATCAATGATAGTTTTTGAGGTTTGAAAAAACTCCTAAATGTCTTTGTCTGTCACAAAATTGGGACTCTACACACATTATCATCATCTATGCAACGAATACAGTAGGACAGTCCAAATCAGCTAGTGTTTTCCGTATTTTGTTCATTTCCAGAATAAAATCTTTTCGTGTAAAGCGATTTTTTAGTGTTAAGAGAAAAAATGCATGAAAATACATAGTCGTTTCTCGGGACCGTTGTATCATTTCGTTTTAACCGTTATTTCGTTTAAATCATTTTCACGTTAAACGTATTTTACTGCATCTTACTTTTAATCGCTGACAAAATTTTATAACATTCATGTAAAAATCTCATTGATGCTGATTTATTAACATGGAACGTCTCTTACGTTTCTTATTAATGGATTAAAAGCAAATTCGGTAGAATTCCCTCTCACAGTGGTAATAAGTCAACTGGTAATTCAGAGGTAAAAAGCACAAAAGGAGCGTAAAATAAATAACAAAGACTTAGTCAACACTAAATTTAAATTTGAAAAAATTAATTATTACCAGTTTTAAATTAATCACTTCACAGATTAAGCTTCTTTAAATTTCCTACAGATACCGCCATATCTTCCCCAGAATACCGCAAAATTTCGCAATGTTGCCAAAAAAATATATCCAAAACATTTTAGTTTCCGTATTTGTAGCACAAAAACCGCTAAGTAATATTTTTATTGCAAAACAAATATTTTTTTAAAACTTCGCCAATGCATTTAATGGAATACGCCAAGTTCTATAAATATATCCAGATAGATTTATAGGAAACAAAAACAAAGTTGTTATTTTTCTGAAAGACATCCTGAAAACTCGAAAACATCAATATCTTCCGTTAAAAACGTCACTCTTCGTTAAAATAAACCAGACTGTGGCAGTAATTATTTTGAAGGAATTTCTAAAAAATCGAATCTATTTTTATAACTGGCTCCCATCAGACGATGAATTTCTCGGTTAAAAAAAAAAAGACGAATTGGGGAGTGATTTTGTAAGCGAAGATGTAATTCTTTTTTAACTTAAATAAATTGACGTAGGAAATGTTTATTCAGTCCAGCTGTGTGTGTTTTTCCCCATTCGTAATTTTTAAGAGCAAAATGCGAAAATGATAGAAAATTGAATAAAGAGCCGCTCAGAAGAAATAACATTTTAAAATATTTCTTTAAATAAACGACTACGATTGGAATCGTGATTTTGAAAAAGCCTAAAGATGTATAATGTTTTTCGTATTTAATGTCTCTTCAATTAGAAAAAACACATAAAATTATTAAGAACATTATTACAAGAAAAAAAATCATTTGAATACAATTTTTTTTTTTTTTTTTTTTTTTGTTAAAAAAATGAAGAAAAATTATCAAAACATTTTCCCTCAATGAAAAATTCTTGCACAATAATAATATTTTGCTTATATACCGCATTTACTCGAATCTAAGCTGCACTATTTTTCCAGTGTTTCTGGTACTGAAAATCGGGTGCGGCTCAGAATCGAAGGCAAAACATCTGTTATATGGGGAAAATAGAGTTTCCACCCCTTTCAAAAGGAAAAATGTAATCGTCCATTCTGGATACTTGCATCGATGGCATATCCCATTTCACAGTTTATCTCCAGTATTCAGTCTATCCAAAACATCGTTGTCTGCTTGTATTTAAGAAAGGTTTTTGTACACGCTTTCTTAGAATCACCTAAACATCAAAGATATGGGTAATAGCATCCAGACGAGAGAGAGATTTCATTACGACGCACGCATCAAAAAGGAGGCAATTTTATATGCAGAAAAAAAAGGAAACAAAGCAGCGGTCACTAAGAATTTGACACGGATGGAACAAATATATGTCGATGGCGTAAGCAAAATGATATAATTTTTGCTTGTTAATGTTCAGCAGTCTTAAATAACTTTTTTGCATTCTTCTATAACACATTCTTTTTTTTAGAAAAAAATTTTGCATAATAAATGTATTGGATGGCACGGAAGACGACATCTTGTGGGAAAATGGCGAAGTCGGCACCCATTTCGTAGTCAGCTGTGACAATGGGGGTAAAAAATCCTTTTTGAAACATGATACTCACGGTTAGAATAACTTTAAGTTCATGTATGTATTTGAAAATTTTTAATACTAGTAAAATAAATTAATTATTAAATTTTTATTGTTTATTGTTGGAATTTTTTCACACATTTCTTAAGTGTCGAATACTAATAAGCCATTTACACATTTTTAGAAACTTTTTCTCAAAAACTTATGAAGAATTGGGGGTGCGGCTTAGAATCGATCACAAAATTTTTTTACAAATATATTTTGAAAATTTGGGATGCGGCTTAGAATCGACAGCCGCTTGGGTTCGAATTGATACGGTTCAGAGCTTGAACAAGGAGTTTTGAAATATGCAATTTAGAAGTACATTTATTCCTATTTTAGTACATCAGAGTAGAGAAATTTTAATAAAAAAAAAACACAGGTTATTATATTTCAATTGATCGTAACTCTGAAAATAATACGTTCTTCAAAAATCTTAGATCGAACTCTATAAAGAAGTCCTAGCTTTATATAGGGAAATTATTTTCATTAGTAAAGCATTTTTCATTAAAGAAGAATGGTTTTAATATATATGCCATTCTTCCTTCACGCATTTTTTGCATAAAAATTGCATTTAAATCATTTTTTCATGTAATAATGTACTTAAAACTTTTATATATATTAGTTCAACTGACACTAAATATAAATTTTTTTTATTACTTGTTTTAAATCAATTCCTACTTAGGTGTACAAAGAACAATTTTATTTCAGTTACTTTAAATTACAACTACAATTAATATAAATATGTATATACATATGACAGAATCACAATATTAAGAGACAAAATGGAAAGCGATTTTCATTGCAATTTTCCATTTTCCTTTCTATATATGACGTTGGACTATTTTTTTGTTTTTGGCACTACTTATTCATTAATTAAATTTAATTATTCTAATAAAATAGTATAGTAAAAAGAAATCCCATCATCAGAAATTAGGCTATCCCAGGTGGGATTCGAGCCCACAATATTTGGTTTAGGGATCCAACGCGCTATCCATTATGCTACAGGGACACCACGGGAAAGTTTGCTTTCTTTTTTTGCTGTTGGATTATATTATTTTTGTTTTTGTTACTATTTATTCATTTTTTAAGTTTAATTAATGAATTTATATTTGAAAAAACTGTATTAACAGCAAGTGTCATCCACAACAAGTTTTAAATAATGTAGGTATTTGAACTTGAGCGGATGAATAAAAAGTATTTTATTAACGATTGAAAACTTGAACAAGATGGCTATGGCATGATCAATATGTATTAAGTTATAGAGGTTTCGTATGAGCTACTTCTGCGAGAAAACCCGTTAGTCGTAGAAATGTAGGAGAAAGAATAGTAACAAATATAGTTTTTATGCAATGGTTGCAGTTTTCAATAAAATAATAAATTATAGTTTAAAAAAACTAAAAAAAGCACCCTTTTATAGTTAATCGAATTAAGTTGAAATTAATCTTTTAGTCGCCAGGTGCGAGATGGGATCTGAAAATGTGAAATCGTTAATCCTGATGATCCTGATCAGGGCATAGGAATAAAATTATTATATTATTGTATTGTCATCGGTTCTGGACAAGTGAGCAAAATTTCGAATTCATCTGACCTTTTAAAGTGGGTAAAAATTGAGTTCAAAGATTCCGTTTCATACAAGTAAAGCTTATAAAAGGGTGTTGAATAAAAGAGATGAACATTAAAAAATTTTTTTTTTTAAAAATTAGACTTTTACATAGATCTTATGAATTTAAAGAGTTGTAGTTCTAGAAGTTTGTTATTTTTTCAAAAGTCTGGGATGATATTTCCAATAAATGATTTCAAAACATAAAATAATTACATATTACGTTTCAGGTTTTTTCATAAAATAGGTGGTGCGCGTTATACGGCGAATTTTACGGTATATAGGGAGAGTGTGAACTATTAGTAGGAATTGAAAATAAAACCTATTTATTCATACACTTACTCAAAATCACGTTTCTGAATTTAGTCACCTTTAAATTAAAATTACATCGAAATAAATTTAGATTATTATAACTTCTCTCTCTCTCTAAGTATATGTAAAGAGTTGGTTGAGACCAGCTAATAATTTAAACAAATATATTATTCTTGATGTAAAAGATAGTAAATTATCCTCGTAACATTTTAAAACATGCATACAGAATATTATGAAACAAAATATTTGCAATGTTTTTAATGCCTCTAAAGATAAAACTTTTTTAAACAATGCCTAAGTAATTTAGTTTATTTTTCTTAGATAAATCCAAGATTTTTTTTCTTCTCAAATTAAAGCTTATCTGCTGAGATATTTTTTTTTCTGATTTAATGTATTAAAGGAAACATAAATATTTAACTGGTCTAAAATATCTTAAGTAAATATCGTAATTTTATGTAATTTTCGTTTATCACATTATTGTTTTGAAGCACTAAAATTTGAGTTATATCACTATAATGACTTCGCCAGTTTTAAAAGAAATCGTTTGTCTGAGGAATCTTTCAACGTTTTGAAATAATACGTGCGTAATGTGAAAAAAAAATAGTAAAATATGTTTTGATTATTTATTAAGCTTTATAAAAAAATAAAAAGTATATAGGAAAACACTAAAACAGGTAATACCTTTCTTACATAAAATATTCATGCACAACAACATATGAGTAATTCGTTAAAGTTCTTTTTTACATTAAAAAACACTCTTTTTTGAATTTATCTTTTATGTCAATAAAACAAATGCAACAAATAAAAAGTTTTTTGTTTATTTTTTTCTTTGTCTTCAGAATAAATAAATAACCTTTAAAAGGGATGCACTCAAGCTCAAAAACTGAACTTTGCTCTCTTCCCTATTCTTTTTATAAACATAAAAATATTAGGACAGCTTTTGAAACCGAGGTATCAGTAAAAATAAGTGATTCTTATTTTTCTTAGAGTAAGTACTTATTTTTTCAGTTACGATTCTTTACGAATAGAATCTGAGCGGTAAATTTATTGGTTTTAAAACAAAAGCTCATTTACATATATACTTAAGGAAATGGTGATTAAAACTGACTTATTACTCTTATATTAAGCAGAAAGCACATGATTTGGAGATTGTTTCTTTATATGCTTGATGAAATTTTCATATATGTTTTCAAGATTCGTATTTAAAAATTTTGATTTTTTTGCATTTATCGATGCTCTAATATAATTAATTTATTTATATTTATTTTACTTTATCATTTTAATTTGTTTGAAAAAAATCTCAGCTCATTAATTTTTATTATTAAAAATATCAAACACAGTTTTTGAAAAAGTTACTCTTGTAATCTTTGTACTAAATTTCAAATTAGAAATGTCATGATTTTAGAAATGCATAAGATAATGGAAGACACTTCACTCATCGGTATTATCCTCATATCAAACATCTTTCTTAAATTTAATGTTATTTTAACCATCGCGAGCAAAATTGCTCGGATTTATCAGAAAGAATGGAAGAAAATGAACCAACGAAGGACAATGATCAAGGTTAATCCCCTTGAATGTCTCGATTTCAAATACCAGCTAAATATTAATGACTTAGGAATGAAAAACATTCCTGATACAATATTAAAGGCAAACCCTTTATGTAAGTTACATGAACAATACCTTGAGCCTGAATGGATTAGAGCAACGTTTCTCAACTTTTTGTTCCCCCATGGCCACATATATATGAGAAGTATTTGACGCCGGTCTCAACAATGGGGGAAAACACAAAACACCAAAGCAGCATTGAACGAAGCAAAATTAATCAAAATATTATGACTCATTTTTTTTAGGCTTTCGCTTAAAAACTATATATATTAACTTTTCTATCGAACATACACATAAAATATTTACTTTTATGAATCTTGTACTGAGTTATGGGGTAGTTTCGATTTCCTTTCATCCATGACCAAACCTTTTACATTGTATTATAAAAAAAGCAAATTGTAAAATTCATAGTTTTGATTGCTTGATTGATAGAATTTCAGTCTAAATATTAAGTACATTGTTTTTAAATAATGGAATTTTTTAGTGCAATGGGCTCATAGCCGGGATCCACATACGGCCCACGGGCCATGGGTTGAGTATCACTGGGTTAGAGTGTACATTGATGGTTCTAAAATACAAGAAAATACTGGGGCTTATGTATACAATAAATTATTTTCCCAATGTACTCCTGTGGGACACTTCATGTCGAGTTTTGATGCAGAAGCCCTTGCAATCTCACTATCTCTGAAAAACTTCAAGCTAAAGATCGATTGTATCTCTAAAGTAGTTATTCTAATCGATTCCAAAGCAGCCATCCAGGCTGTAGTTATAACTCATGACACAAACTCCCAGATTATCTCAGAAATAAGAAATCTTGAACTTTACAAACAACAGCTACACTGAGAAATGGCTTTTCCTAAGCCATCCCAAACATATTCAATATTATTGTGATCCAGAAACCTCGATGGTCAATCCATACGGAAAATATCCACTCCTTCATGAAATTCATAAACAATGTGAGTTCTGTGTGGCCGCGCATTATCGTCCTTAAAAATGTAATCCGGACCCACAGCACCCAGAAAAACCTCGCATAGGCTTTTCAAGATCTTATCCATATAGCGCCATGAGTTGATAGTACCCGTATCGAAAACGTAAAATGGTGTATGACTGTCCAAAATTAAGCTACCACACACATGGATTTCTTTGCTACCAAATCTGTCGATTTTTGTTACGTAGGAGGAATGAAAACTAGCTCTACTTTCTCTCCAGTTGAAGAGTCGACGAGAATCGCTTTGGTACATTTCGACTCTTCACTGAAAAGAACACGACCCCATTCTTGTGTTGTCCACAACTGATGTGTTTTCAGCTGCACAATATTTTGTCTTTTCTGCTGGATGCAGTCAAAGGGACGTTTCAGCCGGGCGTAAAGGACAGTCTCTACAAGACGGCTGTAGATTGTTTGCCTGGAAATTCTTCTTTCAGACACAGCAGAAACTTATGAGCAAGCTGAGGAGCCATTGTCCGGCTATGCCAATCGGGCGCTTAATGCCAAATAGTGAGCCTGTGCAGAAGTCGATGGTCTGTGGTGATCTTGGCCAACCTTCCTGGTGATAGTACCACTTGTTTGAAATGGATTCCATAACCGGGAGACTACTTTTGGGCTACTTATAGCCATCGAGCCACCTTCGCTGGAGACTGGCCAGCTTCAAGCCTGCCATTGGCTCTCCATCTCAAGGAATCCTCTAAACGATTATGATAAGTCATTCTCGCTGCAAACAGACTAACTTGTATGTTTTAATATAATATTCCCAAAACTGGATACAAAATTCCCATATGCATGAACGGTCTCAATCCAGCAGCTCTGTAAGAACTGACGCTAAGCAACATGTTTTCCTAAACTGAAGGTTGATACCTTGTATATATATATATACTACCCGTTCTTCATAATAAATAAAATTCAAATTATATCCGTTTTACTGGAGACATTTTATAACTATGACGAAAAACGTGTTTGTCACCTTAATTTTGGACACGAGTGTAATTTAATTTTAAAAAAATAATTTTTTTTCCTTTTTGCATTATTCTTCAAATAATAAAGTTAAACCGATGTAGACCATAACAGTTATATTTAAAAAATTATTAAAACTCGTATGAATCTGTTCTAACATTGAAGCTAAAGAAATTTTTTTTAAAAAGTAGAATAAAAGAAATATATCTTAATCTGTAATAAATAAGTAGTAAACTTTTTAACACGCTTTTATAAGTTTCACTTGCATGTAACGGAATCTTAGAACTCGATTTTTACCTACTTAAAAAGATCGGATTCATTCGAAATTTCGCACACTTGTCAAGGACCGATGACAATACAATAATTTCATAATTTTGTTCCATTGTCCTTTTCAGGATCGTCAAGAATAAGGATAATCAGATTTGGCGACAAATCCATACACCACTTCCAGATTTGGCGACTTACTGCATTTATCATTTTTAAATTTAGCGACTAGTTCCATATACCATTTTCAGGCATGGCGACTAATTTCATACATCAT